CTGGCACAGCCGTTGAGTTTTTCTTTTTTTTCTGATTTAATTATTAAGTCTTTCTGTCTTTCTTTTTGTTTGTTTTTAAGAGCAGTTTTAGTTCACAACAAAATTGATTTTGGATTTCCCATATGATATATGGATTTCTCATATAGACCTGCCCCAGTGTGAGCATAGCCTCCCTCATTACCATCACCCCCCCCCCACCAGAGGAGTACATTTGTCATAATTAATGAACTATGTTGAAACATCATAATCAGGTAAAGTCCATAGTTTGTGTTACTGTTTACTTTTGGGGTACATTCTGTGGGTCTGAACAAATGTATGATGACATATTCATCATGGTAGTATTACATGGAATATCGTCACTGCCCTAAAAATCTGTGCTCTGCCTCTTCATCCCTTTCTCCCCAACTTCTGATATTTTTACTGTCCCTCTAGTTACCATTTTCAATTAAAAAAAAATTTGTAATGTTTATTTGTATTTGAGAGAGAAAAAGAGAGAGAGCGCACACAAGTGGGGGAGGGGCAGAGAGACTGAGACAGAATCTGAAGCAGGCTTCAGGCTCTGAGCTGTCAGCACAGAGCCCGATGCAGGGCTCGAACTCACGGACCGTGAGATTGTGACCTGAGCCGAAGTTGGACTCTTAACCAATTGAGCCACCCAGGCTCCCCACCATTAAGTTTTTACTTTCAATTATTATAATTTTTATATTTAAAAGTTTTATTTGGTTCTTTAAAAAAAAAATCTGCTTTGGCTTTAGAATCTCATCTTTGTTCTTAAAATCAAGCCAGTGTTACTTTTTGGCACATGTTATGCATTTGTTCTGTATCATGTCGGAAATAGTTCTGATATTAAATGTCTTGAGAGTCTCATTCTGCCGTCTGTGCTTCTGCTGGCTTTTATTCATAGAGTACTCTATTTTCCTGTGGCTTTGGGTATGTGTATGAGTTTTGATTGTGAACTCCGGTCTCTTGGAGTGTTATCTGTGGGAACTTTTTGTGGGGTGGATTGGCTTTATCTTCCAGGGTGAACTTGGTCGTTCTGCGGGTTGTAGGGTGAAGAGGGCACTGTCATCTCAGGGTCTCTCTGAATTACATTTTCTGCTCAGGTGGTTTTGCTGTAAGATCATACAGCTGGCATGAATTTGGGTTACAGTCTTTCATAAGTCAGGCTGGGGTTGCGAGTTTTCGGAAGACGCCCTCCACTCTCAGTGCCAAGGACATGCCGGGCGCATTTCCTTGCTGCCTCCTCCTGCGGTACAGGATTATTTCTTGCTCCCCCTGACATGACGATCCAGCCCTTTTGGGATCTCAGTGCCCATGCTCAGGTCTTCTGTTGGCCTTTCTATCTCCCGAAGTTTTCGGTTTCCCTGCACTCCGTTTCATTCAGCTGTCAGAAGAGCGTGTAAAGGTCACTAGTGTTGACAGTTAACCCTCAGCGTGAAATCTCTCTTTGGCATTGGCTTAGCCTCCAGGGTTCCCCCATCATTTTGTTTTTTGTTCTCTGCAGCTTCCTTATTTTCTCACCAGCTCAGTAAATTCTTATCTTTTAATATTAAAATTCATCCACCTTTTGGTTGTTTTCATCAGAGAGTCAGGGATATCTAATTCCGTCCTTATGATGAATTTTGTACTAATAGGTACTGAGTCTAAAATAACCTTTTGTGTAAGTTACAAAAACGGAGCCAGAAACTCCAAAAAGAACGTCTTCTTCCTGTGTGTGTGTGTGTCATGTACTCCTACAAAACAGATGAATCCTGATACCTATACGTATGAAAGCGTTAGAGCAAAAATTCTTACTTGCCACATGCCACCATTTCTTTCTTTTGTCCTGGTAAAGCATCACTGATTTAGTAAACCACTGTTAATTGTAGTAGGATCATATTTCTCAAGCGTAGGGATAGAGAATTGTTCAGAGCCATTGCTATTGGATATTGACTTATTCTAGGTTCAGTTTAAACCTTGGGGTGCTTGTTGACCATTATTTGACACAAAAGGGTTTGCCAACTTCCAACAAAATCTTCAAGGGGTGACGACACAGAGAACTCTTCTACAGATAATAAAAATTACGCAGCAAACTTTTGGCTTGGTGGCTGTTTTTCCCCAGCTGTGTCTAACTGTAGTGTTGAAAACCAGTCATCAGAAACTGAATTGCTTCGTCTACTCTTTGCCTTTGTAGTTGGCATGGAGTTAGAGTAGAGTTGTACTCTGATAATTTCCGCAGAGAAAATCTTGAATTCATGCCATAAGAGTATCTCCTGCACATTCACAGAATCTGCTATACAGCGTCCTTGTCATGGTAAGGTGTATGTTACTAGGCTGTGCTTTAATTTAGAACTGTCATAAAGTAAATCCCGTTGTCTCTTTGTACCTTCCATTTGGATCCGCTACCCTGACTCCATCTGTCACTGTAATCTCTCCCTGTTGAATTGTGTTGCTTGGCATTTATTGGTTGGCTTGGACTTCCTAGAGTTTTGTGTTGATCTAGCACATGTCCTCAGGAGGGTTGATAAAAGTGATCGGTAGTGTTAGAATGTTGAGTTAGAAGAGACTGTAGAAATTACCTTGTCTTTTAATTTTCTAAACATGTTTAGCTGTGAAAACCTTGATTTGGGTAATGGATTACTTGGAAACGCAACAAACAGATCAACGTAGAGGAGTTGGAGGTTTTGAAAATCAGTGGAGACCAACTCCTTTATCTTGCAAATGAAGCGTCTTAAACCCAGAAAGGTTAAATGACTATGGTTTATGGCTGTTTCCACCTTCCCAGACCTCTGATTGGATTGTGGTTTTGCTTTGTTGTTAGACTTTTGGACAGTACAGTGACTATACCTCTGCACTGCTTTGTGGGGTTGGCCAAAGTTGTTTTTTTTAATGATAGCTATCTCATTTTTTCTTGAGCCTTTGTTTCTTTCTCTTGCTATTTCTTAGCTATTGTTTGGAGCAGATATTTGTGATCATTACTGGCTAATGAGAGTAGCTTTTCTTCCCCCCTTGAATTTGAAGGGAAGGGGGAGAAGGCAGCCATCATTTATGGGACACCTGCTTCTGTGCCAGGCACTGCGGATGCTTTCACCAAGGTTTCAATTCAGTTAATTTGTAGCCGCCCTGTAGAGTAGTTGGTGACATTTTCCTTTTACAGTTAGGAAACTGAGGCACAAAGAAGCTAGTAAGTTGATCCGTAGCCAAACTACCTTGAGGATGCGGACGGGGAGAGGGATTTCTAAGCAGAGCATGCATGATATGTCACGGGTAGGGGGATGAATGGGTCATCTGGACTGGTGAGAATACGTGCTCTGTGGCATGTGATTGCTATTACATTGGAGAGAGAATGTTCACGTGTTATCCTGTTCTTCCCACGGGCCAGAAACGCTTTCCGGAGTTAGGTGCACTGACATTTTACTGTCCACATAAATAGATGTGATGAGGTTGTACTTTGGATCATAGGGCCTTTCTTCTTTTTTTGTGGGGGAGGGGTTATACTTATTTAAACGAATATTGTTTTGAATTCGTATGGTAAGTGGTAAACATCCGGGTTACTGATAGTTTTCAACATACGTGAGGAAGCTTTGACATGGTACTTGAGCTGGCAGGGGTGGAGGGTGGGGCTTGCAGCATTCCCACCGAGACAGATTTGTTCAGTGGATCTCGAAGTTGCTGTGATCATTGAATTTGATGTCAAAACACAGGGCATAGCCAAATTGGAAGTAAAGGGTGTTTGTAAACTAGCGATTCCGTCAAGGTTTTGTGTAAAGCCTAAAACGAGTCCCAAATTAAAAAAAAAAAATAAATAACGAAGGCAGCGTCATGTTTATGTACCAGCGCTGGATGGCTGGAGGACATTAGAGGAAATGTGTTGTTTTGGTAGAATCTGACCACCAATCCACCCAGTCCCTCTAATCAGTGCTTACAATCAGGAAGTTGAGGATGTGTTGTCTAACAAAGGTTGGCCTTCCCAAGTCCAGGGATGGAGCTCAGTCAGGAAACGGCAAGGTCTTCTGAGCACCGAGGTGGTGTTAATTTCATGTCCGTGCCCCGGAGGAGGCAGTGTGTGCGTGTGGTTTTACTGCAGCTTTGCAGAGTGGCCGCCGGCATTTTGTGAGTGATGTCGCATGGGTTTTGTCTGGGGGGATGTTTTCTTGGGAGTTTTAAGTACACATACCTAGAGGTATCATGCTTTCAGTGTTGCTGTCTTTTTTCCCTCTCCGGCTACGTTGGGAGTCCATTTAGGGGCGTGTGCCAGTACACAGGTCCCTAGTGGCACCCCCACCTCCCCTCTTTTTCAGGGACGGAGTTGAGTCGGTCGTATTCCTGAGACCACGACACGTGATTGTGGTCTGTGCCGGGCCCTTCTTCTGTTGGGTTTCGTGTTGGTTTTTCCCTTTTTTATCCTTCACCCCCAGTTGCAATGCCCCAGTGCTCTTCAGCACCCACGCAAGGACGTTTAACATCCATTCTTAAGCCCGCTGGCCGGGTGCTAGTCTTTATGTATGCGTTAAGCTCAGTTTTTCTTTTTTTCATGTTTAACGTTATGTTTTTGAGAACTAAGCGTGCTTTTGTATGTAAACCTAGCTCCGATCATTCCGACTCTGCTCCGGAGCTGGCCGTCACATTTCATAGACTGGCTGCTTGTTGGCTGTGCGGTCGTCCGTGCCGCCCCGCGTGGCGTGCTTGTCACTGTGGGTCCCGGGTGGGGATCCGTCAGGTCAAACTTGGAGGAACTGTTAAGTCACCTACTCCATGTGTGTTTGGTTTCGGCTCCCTGAGATGGCTGTCGAATTATACCCCGTTAGGGCACGGGTACAGCAGGGGCTTTAATCCGCTAGCTAGAAAAAAAGTCACAAGTTATAAGTACAGCTTCTTGATCCGCGCTTTGCTTTCCTGAGAAAGTTCTTGCAAACTAGTCTTACTATTAAAATCCTTCACTCTTCACTATCATCCTTTATTTTCTTTCAGTAATGTTACCTGGTGAAAGGGAACACAGTTTTTTAAGGGATGTCTCTGTGATGCACGTACAACCGAAACGTTATGAAAATACTACGAATACTAAGAGTGCTGTTTCGTTTGTTTTAATTTTTATTTTACAGGGCGCCAATGCCTCGGCATTAGAGAAAGAGATTGGTCCAGAACAGTTTCCAGTCAATGAGCACTATTTTGGATTAGTCAATGTAAGTATCCGTTGGTACTCCGCCTTCACAACTATGGTTGCAAATCGTTTTCAAAGTGTTGAATGTGTTTCATAATTTATTAAAGGAAAATTGTTCATTTGCATCAGTAGGCTTAAAGCCAAGAGACTTGATTTGGAATTTTAAAATACTCTTTTTTTTTTTTTTTTTTAAACGTTTATTTATTTTTGAGAGAGCGAGCGAGTGAGCACGAGCAGGGGAGGGGCAGAGAGAGAGGGCGACACAGAATCGGAAGCCGGCTCCAGGCTCCGAGCTGTCAGCACAGAGCCCCACGCAGGGCTTCAACCCATGAACCGCGAGATCATGACCTGAGCTGAAGTCGGACGCTTAACCAACTGAGCCACCCAGGTGCCCCTAAAATACCCTTTTTAATGGAAGGGAAACAAGACTGCTCGAAGTCTTAAGGGTCTTAGATTGGAGTTAGCCAGATTTTTCCTATTTTGTATCAAATTTTTTCATAACCGAAATTTCATATGGCCTATGCTACATGATCTGTTGTTTCTTTGAGAATTATTTAAATGCCCAAATAGAAGTGGTCCAAATGTACAGGTGTAATAAATAAAGTTTTGCAAGTGCCTCCATGTGTCTGTGGACTCTTTGTCAGCTGACTTCTGGCAGTGTTCCACTAGCATAGATAGAAAAATGCAAAATATAGGAGAAAGATACATCCCCAGTCCTTGTGAAGATAATTCTAGTTATTATACATCATTGAAATTTTGGAAGAACTTTCTTTGGAAGTTTTAACTCTTTTTCTGACTCCTCAACAAGTGCCACAAATCTGTGTTCTACAATTGTGGTAGTTTATGCTGTCCTGTTACGTAGATCCGTGGTGAATGTTTTAAACTCTAGGTAAGAGATGATAATACAGGGGACAAAGTAAGTTCCATTGAACACACGTGTGTCACTCACTGAGTACTAGTACGCAATCCGTGACGTTCAAGGTAGATTTCTTGTGTAGGTAAAGTGATGTGGGCATTTCCTCTCCTGCTGGGAGTCCCCTTGAGAGTGTAAAGCTTGTAACAAAGGGAGTCTCCACCCCACTGTGCCCACCTCCCCAGAGGAGCCTGCTCATTCATCTACTGGCTCTTGTTTCTGGAATCTACCCCCACATTCTAAATAAAGTGCCTGTATGCTATTAAAAACAGTCTGTCGACTTCTTTTCCCTCACCCTAGACATTCCTTCATGGCTCTCCTTTTCTAGAACTGGTCTTCTTCCTTGGATTTTTCCCTGCTTTGTGGAACATGTTCTATGGTGGCTTCTTTAGGGAGCGTGCATGGGAGGTGAACTTTGAGCGCTCGTATTTAAAAACGTTTTGGTTCTTGCTAAAGCTAGGTACACAGCCTTCCTTCAGAATTTGTAAGGGATTACTCTGTGGCTTTCTGGCGTCTGTTGATGTCAAGAGGGCTGATGCTGTTCTGATTTTTCACCTCTTCTGAGTGTGGCCCCCTCCCCCCAACCCCCAAACAGTGTTTTAGGAGGCTTTCAGAATGTGGATGATTATCCACAATGTTCTGAAATTTCATGATGTGTCTTCGTGTTCCTCCCCCTCCCCCCCCTTTGTTGCATTGACTATGTACCAACTCATTCAGACATTTTTCGTTTTCCTCAAGTCTCGAACATTTCTGATACTAGCATTTGGATAATTTCCTCCCTATCAGTGTAATCTCTTTGTTCTGTCTTTTTTGATATACCCTTCGTTGCATATTGAAATGCAGACTGATTTCTCTGTTTTTTTCTGCGTTTTCTCCCATTTTTGATCATCTGCTTTGTATTCTACATTTTGGATTATTACTCGCCCTTTTTTATCTTGTTCATTGCACCTTTTATTTCTTAGAGTGTTACTTTTGTTCTTTGATTTTGTTTCTCTGTGGTTTTTCTCAGGATATTATTTACAGTTGTTGAGGTTTTCTTATCCTTACTGGATTGTTTCTGAGACACCCCCTCCCCCACTCCCCCACCCCCGCCGCCATTTTAAACTCTCTTTCCTAATGGAAGCTCTCCTTAAATTTCATTCCTGCATCAAGATGAAATTCTGAGAAGCTGATTTGGGCTCTGTGTATTAGGGTGGAGCTGGTCTACCAAGGGCTTCTCTCCAAGGTGACTGCCCCCCACCCCCATTTCAGTGGCTAGAGCCTTTTCTCTGGGGCTGTTGACCTGGTGCTGAGGGACTTCTTCAGTCTGTGTCTAGGGATGGCTTCGTTCAGGGTCTTATTGAATCCTGTCCTCTGTTTGGTGCCTCATGCAGTCCTCTGCTGTCCTTAAGGGCTCTTGAACCAGACTCTCCTGTTCAGCTTCTGTGGGGACTAAAACCTACAATTGAAAGAAAGGCGAAGTGCCTAGGGGTCTGAACGGTCCTTTTAAAAGACTTACAACCAGGGGCGCCGGGGTGGATAAGCATCTGACTCTTGGTTTTAGCTCAGGCCATGATCTCAGTTTGTGGGATCGAGCCCCCATGTCAGGCTCTGAGCAGGGAGCCTGTTCCGGATCCTCTGTCTCCCTCTCCCTGCCCCTCCCCTGATCGCTTGTAAACGCTCGCTGTCTCCCAAAGCAAACAAGAAATAAGCATTAAAATAATAATAATAATAAAAGGCTTATAACCGGACCTGTGTTTTCCCACCCTCACCCTCCTTTTTTTTCCCCCTTTATTTTTTCCTAATTTATTCTTTTACTGTCATTTCGTTGGAGTTTTGTCAGGGGTGGGGGGAAGTTAATTGAATATATTTGAATGTGTGTAATTTCCCTTGTCTAACAAGAAAGTCTGGCCTTTACTTCCGATATCTAGGGTGTTTGTGCTTGCGTACAGAGTTGTCTAGTGATCAAAAACCTCATTTAACTTCTGGGAATGGGCAAACCCCAGTTTCTTCTCTCTCATTATTACTTCCCTGTGGCTGCCACCCGTATTTGGTTCACACTCAAGCTAATATGTGTCTTGAATTGTAGTAAAATTGTATTCATCGATAGTGTCTCAGAAGAACCCATTTTCTTTAGCACAAGAGTATTTTATATATTGAAGGCTGTCTCACTTTTAACCTTCTCCAGTATAAATATTTCAATCTCTCCATTTTGTGTCTGACTGTAACCTTTTTTGCAGATAGCCTCACAACAAGGAAAACAGTATCCTAGATAAAATCTTACTATAAAATGAGTTCTACAGGCCTGTTTTCCCCTTGCTGTTAATGTTTTTACTTGAACATACCTCTCAGAATACCAGGGTCAGTTGTGTTAAAGGAAAAAAAAAAAAAAGATTTCTTAGAAGGTTTTATTTTTATTACTCCCCGTGGATCAAGATTAAATTAATCTAAATTAAGAGGGTAGTATTGGTGCTTTTCCCTGAAGCTGACTAACCGAGATTCAGTAAAACCCAAGAGAAGCAGGAGGGAGTAAAGTTAGTACGAGAATTTTAGGGGAATCTTTGTCCTTATCCCCTCCAGAGACTCTTCTGATGGGTGGAAATATAGTTTCTGATCTCTGTGCCTAGTTAGTACACCAAAGAATTGAGCTCCCCTGAGGCAGCCAGGGCTCCAACCTTGAAAGATTGATGAACACCTTGAATTATATTGAGAAAGTAATTGATGGTCAGAGTACATGCAGCAGAACCAGTATAGTGATTAACTTTTTCCATGGTTTAAACTTTCAGGCTCCCTTGCAACTGTGTTCTGTAGTCTTAACCTTTTTCTAGAAGTCCTATTTTTAAAATACTGTTTATTTTTGAGGGGGGGGGCATGAGCGGATGAGCAGGGGGCAGAGCGAGAGAGAGACAGACAGACAGACAGACAAGAATCCAAAGCAGGCTCCACAGACTGAACGTGGGGTTGGATGCTTAACCAACTGAGCCACCCAGGCACCCCTGTATTTTTAAGCTCTTAAAATATCACTGTTGTTTCTTTCCCCCCTCCCCCCTCCTCCTTTTTTTCTTTTTTCTTTTTCTTTTTTTAATTTATGGAGTTATCACACTATTTATA